AATATGCTTTGTTCAAATCCGAAGAAAGAAGATAGAAAATCCTTTCCTCCTGGCTAATAGAAGACTGTTTCTTCTTCCCTTCAACTTCTTTAACAAAGTTGACCTTTGAGGAGTCTTCTAAGCATTTTCTTTTTAAAAGGGTTTGATTCTGTGTGTTGGCTTTTCCCTTTTAAAGCATTTTGATTAGAAGCAAAGTTGGTTTTCGGAATCTTATATGCCGACAAATTTGATGGGATCTGTGGTTTCGTTTTGGTCTCTTCGTGGAAATATTTTAGCAATGCATCCCACTGTTCAATAAACCTTCCTAGCGCTCTGCCTAAGGATAACCATCTCGTGCATACATGTTTCAGAATTTTTCTCGTTTCACCAGAGCACAGTTCTTGGAAATTCTTTAGGTTTTCTTTCCTTTTTACACTTTTTTCCAGATAGAAAAACGCATCAATCAGAAGCTGGTCAATATTTAATGGTAAAGCAACTGCAGCTTTTTCTGCTGCCAAATTAATTAAGTGGCATGGGCATCCAATAACAATTAATTCATTTTGTTCTTTTTTGAGGAAAGAGGCTACACCCTTTTTGTCACCCACCATGACATGAACATTAATTACCAAGGAGTCAATATTTCCCCCCGTAGCGTCTCCATTTAACAATGGAAGACGCAAAAGATGAGTTTTCATTTCATTAGAAACATCACAGAAATATGTGACGATGATGGGGTAAAGCTTCCAATCGCTGTCGTTGCTAACAAACACTCTGCTGTTGTTGTAAACAAACACTCTGCCAAAATGACATCGGCATCCGAATTCGTAGCCGAATTTGAAAAAAATCATCCACTTTCTTTGACGTTGTCGAAGCCGAAGCATTAACTTCATGCTTTTTAGACTTAACATGCTTCACAATGTCGCTTCTTCCACCGTGACTTATTATGAAGTCACACACGCACACGTTGCAAAATGCATAGTTATTTCCTTTGAAGGATTCTTTAATTGTTGGAAATTCGGCTTTGTAGGCAGGCCGAAAATATTGAGAATACGGTTTTTTTTTGGAATTCATTTTGTAACAACGATGTATTAAGAAAATTCACAGCATGTGGGGAAAAAAAAAAAAAAAAAAAACCGAAAAAACAGAATGCGACAATCCACGCTCGCTGAGTCCGAGCTGGGTAATTCCCTTGCTGCTGAAGCGAACGCGAAAAAATATTCTGGTGTCCACAAAGAAAAGAGTAGGAGAAACAAGTTCAGCACATTGGATTGGCTGGTTAAGCGGCGAGTTGGGAGAAACCGCAGGTTACTGGATTCGAAGTAGTCGGTAGTTGGCGGTAAAACACGGTGCAATTGGCGAAAAATTCTAAAATTTCGACAAAAATCACTTGAAAAAGGAAAAAAATCGTAAAAAATGGATTACGATCTTATGGTCGTAAAAACAAACACATTTTCGTAAAAATTACGAAAAATTTGTAAAAGTTGGCAGGTATGTTAATGTTATGATGTTTTAAAAAAATCATCGAAAATTTCTCAGATCTCGGAATTAAAAAGTTTCTATAGAAAATAATCTTAAAATTGTCAAAATGTTGAAAAGTCGCCAAATTTAGAACTGTTTAATAAAAGAATTCACATGCCCAAAAGCGAAAAGTTGTTTAAGAGCTCTTTACTAGAAAAAGTGAATTTTGAGATGCTTATGTTTCATTTTTGCTTAGAAACTCAAGTATCCCATCATTTATATTAGAAATAGAAACAAGTTATAACTCATATGAACCCATTCAAAAGGTAAACATATATACGGCAGTGAATCGCCAAAAATATTCCTCAAAATGACAGTCGTAAAAACAGACAGAAATTTCAGATGATTAAAATTAAGGACCTTCTGCTGATTTTGGCCAAAATTAAGGAACAAAAATCGATTCCAAAAAATCTAAGGACTTTTAAGGACTATTAAGGACCATACGAACCCTGCCTATGTAAGTATTTGCAAATTATATTTTAGTTTATACCCATATAGAAGGATAAATACTGATTTATATTTTGACTTATATATATATATATATATATATATATATATAATGTTGTATGAACTTAAATCCATTTAGTGCGAATGATTTAACTCCAGTCCCCGTTAAAACATTATTAACATTTTGCTTTCAAATTACTTCAAAACATCTTTCAAAATATAACTTACCAGTATGGATGCACACTTTTAAAATAATTCTACTTTAATTAAACTTAAGAGATAATATAATCAATTAATCAATACGGTTTAGGAAATAAATTATATATATATATATATATTTTACATAAAAATCAACATTTTGTGAATTTTTTTAATTGATTATGGCAAAAAATGTATGGACTATCTGCCTTTATATGCTTATATGACAAGGCTGGCCAAATTTTACACCGGCTAGAAATGCATGGTGGATTTGGAGATACTGAACAGCCACAACTAGATTTTCTAGCATATATATACTTATGTTTTAAAAGTAGCAAAGCAATTTTTTAATAGCAAGAAATGCTTGAAATAATTTATTAAGAATTTTGCATGGTTTAATAATCATTACTTACTGCCAAAGAGATTGTTATTGTTGTGGCCAATCTCACTTGTCTGACCTAATGAACATAAGCTTATGAATTTTATCATGGGAAGTGTAAAAGATTATGTCTGTCATTGGCAAAAGTCTTGAGCACCATACAGGTGAAAGTATGACTTTGCTAAATTCCACTCCAATTTTGAGAGACAGAATCGTGGGGGTGGGGATAGGTCCGAGTTTCTCCCACCCTCTTCCCCCACCACCAAAACCATACGATAGGAGTTTTGGCTTGCCATATATTTAGAATGTTCCCTATATAGCAAAGACACTACACATTTAGTATCCATGTCTTCTTCAGGATTTGAATCCGGGCCCTGGAGTATAATAATCAGAGTCACTAACCATTATCCCCTTGTATGTCATGAATAGCTTGTTGATTTTTCTTTTAACTCAGGAAAAGTATATTTCTGTGCATTAAAAATGAACGGAATATTAAATTATATGCATTTTTACGGAATATTAAATATATGCTCGTGCGGAATATTAAATTATATGCATTTTTTTCTGCATTTCACTTAAACTTATTTCGTCTAATTTTGTTAGATATATATTTCTCATTCAATTAATTCAGTTCTCACTTTGCAACAATGTAAAAATACATAAAACCTCAAAATATTAAAAATATAAAACAACAGATACAGTTAAAACAATTAAAAAACAATTTTTACAATTAAAATTAGAGTTTCTATGGGGGGGGGGAATTAGCAAGCCAGCAAGACGGCAGATCTTTCAGTGCACAAAACTAAGTTTACTTTTGGTCACACTCGGTGAAACGACACTGAAGGTGCAGACTCTGACTTAATTCACTATTCTGCTAAGTTTCAACTGTAAACAAATATGGCTGCTATGATAAAAGAATTAGGCTTAGTCGCATTTAAACAACTTTTAAATTGTTAATAATTCTATAACTATTGCATGCAGATTAACTAAAGACATAGAAATCTACACTACATGTTATAGCAGTCCTATATACAAAATTTTAACGTTCTAAGACTTCATTTTTGAGTTACGTGAGATATATACCACATACAGACATCACAAAAAAACTCTTCTGAATCCATTTTAAATCTTTTTTGTAACCCGTTTTGGGAAAAAGAGTTCTTTACTTTGTCCTTACTTACAGATGTCATGAAAACACATCGCTGAATTGCATTTGACAACGGTCAAAATGGATATTTTCATTGAAATATAATACCTGAAAATTTTCGCCATTACAATACATCCTGTACTTCATATGAGAAAGTAAAACTGCCTGCATTACATCCAAACATGTGGAAAATTAAATTTCATTTATTGATAACTTTATCTCAAATCTCCTAGAATCAGGCTTTAGTCCTATTAATAATTTATGACCAAATGGAGAAATCGTCTGCATATTTTTAATAGAGGAGATTTTTGTCTGTCCTTTATGAAAATTAATCCAGACATCAAATTCAACATTAGTTTAGATGTAATGCAGGCATTTAGTCTTTCAGCATCAGCCACAAGGATACCATTAAAAATTAATTAAAATTTTTCCATTTATTTCTCATTTTTTCATTTAAGTAGCTGTTTGTGTAATTTTTAATACATTTTTTGTCTGTTATAAATATATACAAAGTATAAATAAATGGATAAATTTAACTACACACTTTTTTACTCAACCTCCACTCAAAAAAAAAAAAAAAAAAAAAAAAAAAAAAAAAAAAAAAAAAAACTTTATAACAGCACAACATTACTGCAGAACCAGTGGCGTGTGAGGAAATTTTACTACTTATAAATATAAAATATATTAAATGTTATATAATAATTTATATATTAAATTATATATAAAATGGGCAGTAGGTATAAAAAGGTTGATTAACTCTGATTTAAATCTCTTTCAGACATGACTAACATCATCTCACCACATTTAAATTTTAAACAAAGTATGTGTGTTGCAATAAATAAATTTCTTTTTTGTGATTTGTCCACATTTATAGTATCTGCATATTCTGTACAACAGGTTGCTGTCATCAGCAGTATATAATTACCATAAATAATTATGCTCAGCATAGTTCCGGTCAGTCTTTGTTCAGGTAACATAACTTTCACAATTATCTTTTAATTTTGAATACCAGTATATATAAGTCAGACAGCTACAAAAATATGAGTATAAAAAATATACAGATCTTTGATAGAACAAAGAATAGTTTAAACAAATAAAAATAACAGATGGTTTTATACACAAAGCATATTAATTCAGAAGGTCAAACAACAAAAATCAGCGTTAATTTACAAAATTTTCACAGTGAAAATTTTGTAAATTAACGCTGATTTTTGTTGTTTGACTTCTGAATTAGTATTTATTCGGCGTGTTATTGTGTCTTAAACACAAAGCATATATTTAGTAATTTTTTTAAGAAATGCTATTTACTAAGCAACATAAAATGTAACATACGCTGTGTTTTTAATTCCTCATTTAGCCGCTCACATGCTTCAACTTTTCTCGGCTTATGATTTAACATCTCAGCATTGTAAATTTCATATTTTTTAATCTCTTGATCCAGCAAGTCAATGTCTTTCTTTAAATTTTGTATTGCATTCTAGGAATATGAATAATAATTAGCATAACTTATTAATGTTCAAGCATTAAAAGAAGTATTCTCATAATATTCTACATACCCAATTTTTTTGAAGTTCTTCTATTTGAATTTTCTTCTTCAGGTTCTCTTCTTCTACTTTGGTTGCATCCTCAGGCATACGAGCTTTTACTTAAATTTTAATATTATGAAACAGTTAGTGAAATTTTTCAGATATTAAACCAGTAAATAAGTAATATTTGGACAGAATTTCAAAATTTGCAAAATACATATTAAACTTAACGGCAGAAAACAATACAAAAATTAAATACTTATAATCATCACCAGCAAATAGCCTACTGAGCATTTTGAAACTATTAAAATACCATGAATCTAATTTTGAACAAACAAGAAATCATGCATAAAAAAGAATTATAAGAAATTTTATTACTGATATTTCATAAGCTCTTGCAATCAATATAAGTAAACACTTCACCATAAACAATTCTTAAAAACTGCTAATGCACCTATGGTTGGCCTTCTACCAAAAGACTTCAACTTACAACAGAATTGCTGGCTGGAAAACCATACCGGTAAAGAGTAACATGGTAACTTGATGGATCTTATTTCTTCTTCATGAATAAATTGGTCCAAGTTATATATATATATATATGTTTTGCTCATGGTCACAGTTCTCCTGTCAATCCATAACATATCCTGATTAATAAGCCAATTATATGTTTTTCATGCATTTTATACATTACAAACAGATTGATTTCAGTGCCCACAGGAAGAGTTTTTCAGAAAAAAAAGGGGGGAATGTGCCAACTGCATTGTTACGGACATACACATTTCATTTCCAAGACCTTCTGAAAAGCTTTGTGCACCGTTGCTCCATATCTTCAGCATTTGAATGAAGAATAGAATTTGAAAGAAACAAATATATAAAAAGAAGAACTTCATCAGTGAGTGAGAAAAAAATGCACTTGCAATAAGTTGCAGCAAGGAGAAAATTTCGGTAGCATGTAAAAAAATAGACTCATCTGCAGTACACATTTATGTCATATTGTACAATAAATATCTATACCATTTTCTACTTATCCTCACCTATTTATAGCACCTATACAATGGAAAATCATTTTGCTCACTTCAAAAAAGAGAGAGAGAGAAAACTGGGGGTGGGGAAAAAAAAAACCTTCAGTTTTTAAATTACGTCCAAAGGAGCATTTTTTTAACGTTTTGTGTGTTACCTTTATTTATTAAATATCATGTTCTTTGTACTTAAACCATAAAACTCAGTTCAACAGCAATATCGCAAAATAATTTTTAAATGAGTTCTACGCACTGGAAATAAAAAGGTTGGATGTAAAAAAAAGAAAACTTCAAATATACCATACTGACAAGATTTTGTGGAATTTGTCTAAAAATCAATGTGAAATGGGTCTTCCACATGGAAAATGGACAAGCACTTTTCTTTCATCATTTATCATTTCTGAATGGTAAATGATAACTTCCTAATACTGTGTGAAACTTAACTACTACGAAAATTTCATTTACATGATTTTGAACTTTTTATAATGACATTCAAATAATGATAATTTTAATAGATGAAGAAATTTTACAAATTATCTATGAAAACAATACTATGATGGTGAGAGTGAAATATTGTCCAAAAGTTACTATCAGATTGGAGAACAAATTTTCTTAACACATTAAATATATTTTGAGGAAATTTTTGATTCAAGGAACTTTACAGACACTTGTTTCAAGATCCTTTTTTCTAAATGGTTGATCTATACAAAAGGCAGTATCAAATGCAATTTTCTCCCAGTTGTCATAAAAAGTTCGGCTAAAAACCTGCCATTAAACAAGCTCTGGGAAAGCATGTATCTAAGAAAAACTGCCTACTGCATTTCATATTTATAGTTGTAATATAAGTTTTACACTTTCACAAGTTCTAACATTCAAGCCAAAGACAAAATTAGATACTCTTACACAGCTTTTATGAGAGGCAATAAGGAAACAAAAAGTAAAAGTGATTCTCATCCTTTTACACAGATGTAAAGGAAGAAAACAGAATATGCCAACTAAGCAATAAAAAATCAGTGAATTTTTTTAAATAATCATTACCATGCAAAATTATAAATTAAGTATATATATAACAATTATTAGAAATATAATATTTAAATAAGAATAAAGTTTATTATAGTAATAATTATAGTATTATTGATTTAATAATTTACACACATTTTTAAGATATTAGATTCTCAGACACTATGAGTAAGGCTAATGCATATTTTGCTTTTCATATTAACAAAATTAAATTGTACTGCAAGGCAAGTTTAATTTTTAATTCTCCAACACTTTTTATGAATATTTTATCAAGTTTTCAGACCTAAAAAATAAATAGCTTAGTTATGTAAAATCAAGTTTATTTGTGAATTATTAAATTTACTTTGATTTGTTTTGTTTGGTTAATTTGATTATGATAAAGCACACTAGGGCTATCTGCCAAAAACTTATTTTGAAAGAGAAAGGGTTACAAATTCAAATCCTCATTTCATAACAGAATGATAAATGAACTGCATTCTTTGCTTATTTTGTGAAAAAAAATAATTATGGAATAATTCTACTCATTTTTACATACTGGGGCATTTCAATTTTCAAAAAGATCCAAGATTTAAAAATTCAAATTTGTAAAATTTTTCATCTTTCAAATCATAATCTAAAAAACTATTTAATATGTAAACTCATTACATTATGAAACATTAATGTTTTTCAATATGACATACAAGGATTCATTAAAAAATAAATTAATTAAAAATATCACTGTTGCAATTTCAATGATAATAGATCTCTGCATACCTCTTTTGCTTCTGAATATTTTATAGAATTTAAAATTAACACAAGTTTACTTTTTCTTAATTTTCTGGCAAAAATTTAAAATTTAAGCTTAATGTTTATTTATGTGAAATTATAAAATAATCCACCCATATCTGCACGTACTTTGATTTAAAGAGATTCTAGAAATATGTAAAAAATATGAATAGTTATTCGAATACTTTGTCAAATTATGTTGCATATACTAACTTCTAGAATTAAGACTTTTAATTATGTACTTGACTTACTAAATTTCATTTATAACTTTTTAATAAATACAGATGTATTTTTAAGATCTTTATTGTTAAATTTTTCATTAAATTATTTCAACTTATGTTTTAATTAAAAACTTTCAATTTTCCTCCCACGCCTTTCTTATTTTCTGATATGAAGGATCTGAGAGCCTTTTAAAATTGGATTCTGATTCAAGAAAATTTCACCTCAACCCTACTTTTGTGGTGTAATGAAAACACTTTTCAAAATAAGAAGAAATGATATTAAGAATACAGGAAATTTTAAACACAACAAATGTTACAACAAATATAACTATAAATCCTGCAGTGTTTAACTAAATTATTATGCACCAAATTTACATTACAAAATCATATAATAAAAAGTCTAAACACTAAGCACACATCAATAATGTATATTGATAATGACCTCCACCATGTATGAGATTTTATAAAAGATTCAAAACTTGATGCAAAAAACTCGCATTTGTCTTTACCCTCATATGAAGAATGAAATAAACAATTCTAATGATTAAGACACGATAACACGCCGAATAAATACTAATTCAGAAGTGAAACAACAAAAATCAGCGTTATATTCACAAAATTTTCACAGGACTAGTTTCGATGGTTTTACCGAACCATCATCTTCAGCTGCAAAACCGCAAATGAACAAGATAGGAAATAATGATTAGATAAGATAAGAAAGCCTGGACAAGAATAAGCAAGTGGCGCCATCTGTTGGTGAAACCAGAACTAAAAACATAATTTCTTAAAAGCCGAAGGCAAATTTGGATTGGAATTAGGATCGTTAACTAGAACAGAAAGATTTTTAATGAATGTGAAATGCCTCTAGAAAATCCAGTTCTCCAATGGAAGATGTTTTTTGAATAATTTTGGCAGCAGAAAAATTGAAAGTGTGATTTTCGGACCAACAATGTTGAGCAACAGAAGGACTTCTGTGTTTCCTTTTTTCTAACATATGCCTCATGTTCCTTGACGCGAAATTTTAAGGCTCTCTTTAGTTTGGACCAATGTAAATTAAACCCACTGGCAAGGAATCCTATAAATACCCCAGGAATTCATATCCGGAATGGGGTCCTTGAGTATGGAACTTGGAATTTTATTGATGGGAGAATAAACAACCCGAAAGTTAAATTTCTGCAAAATATGTGCAAACTTTATAGCTAATTGATGGAAAGAAGGGAATGACAACAGAATTTTTATAATCTCCTAAAACAAGAGTGTGGCTTTTAGTGTGTTGAGATGAGAATTTTTTAACTGCTTGATTAATAATGTTGGGTGAAAAGCCCCTGTCAATAGCTATTGCTTTTAAATAATTTAGTTCTTCATCAAGGGCTAGTTTGGAGGAGCAAACTTGAAGAGCACGGAAAACATAGGAATAAAATGAAGCTAACTTTTGTTTAGTCGGATGACATGATTTAAAGTGTGGTGGAAGGCAAACCGATGAAGGTTTACGGTAAACTGTAGTACTGAAGTTGGATGTGTTACGTGTGTGACCAGAATAGTCGAGAAAAACGGAAGAGAATTGCAAGTCTCAAGTTCAAAAGTGAACTGAATAGCAGGATCAATAGAATTCATTGTTGAAAGAACTTTATTTAAATCATCTTTGTTACCTTCAAACAGGGTAAAAGTATCGTCTACGTACCGGAACCATGCCGGGAAGTTTAAAGTTTCAAACAATTTTGATTGATAATAATGCATGTAGATATCAGCCAGGATGGGACTGAGGGGGCTTCCCATGGCTAATCCCTCAGTTTGCTTGTAATATTTATTTTGGAAAACAAAATGTGTTTGTTTCAAACAGAGTTGAGTGAGAGAAATTAGCTCATCAATTTCGATGCAAGAGAAATGAAATTCGCGAAGTCTGGTTTCTAGACATCTTAATGCACCCTCCACTGGGACATTGGTGAATAATGATTTTACATCAAAAGAAACCATGAGTAAATTACTAGGAGAAATGTTTTTAACCTTTTTTACAAACTCTATTGAATTTTTTTATGGTGTAAATGTTATTGTCTAATAGAGTGGAAAATCTAGAAACTAAATATTTAGCTAATG